CTGACAAACAATGGGGTAGCAGTTATACAACTATTTCTTATGATTCTACGGGCAATCTCCCAACGTACATTCATTTACTCATGATGCAGGATTCATGACTGTTTAGTAAACTAAACTAAAAGTCTTACCTGGATGTGACTTGCTTTCTGCGATGCTGTTGGAGTTGGTGCTGCTGCGTCCTCATTTCTCCTTTTCTTGGTTTCCCCTTTGTTTCTTCTGGACTTGGTTTTATTGGTTTTGGAGGATGCGGTCCTCATAGCTACTGACTGTTTATTGCTGGATTCTTTTGTTCATTGGGTTTTTATCGCTGCATTTTTTGGGCCATCGTTTCTGCACTTCTTATTGGTTCTGACTCTACGGTTACTTTAGATGCATTCATTTCTTGGTGGTCTTTGCTGGTTATTCTTCTTCTGCTGGTTTCCTGCACATCTCTATGGAACTTTCTGATTCAGATTCGGGATGAGGCTTCATGGATCCCTCTATATTGGTTCTCTTCTTGTATCTTGGTCTTCTCTGAACTGCTTCTTGCTTGGCACATACGGTGAGGATCATGGGATCATCTCTACAGCGCCTTTGTGTTATGGTTCTATGGCAGAGGTTTCGTTCATTGCCTGATCAATAAGGCCTTTGCTATCCCAATAGGTGTAATGGTCTACCATATTTAATTCAGCCGACTGTCCAGCTGCCTTCTCAGACTTCTAAACTGCCCAGACCAATGGCCTTTTCATCTGCTCTCAGCTCACTCTACATTTATGGTTCAGTTGCCCCTACCATATTTAATTCATCTCAGCTGCTACTCTCAGCTCAGGCCTTCAGCTCTTTTATTACAGCATTTATTTTTTCAGCATCAGTTGATAAGGGTTGCTTTTTCTGTCCTTCTTGCTGGTTGATGCTGATGTTACTATTACATATGGCTTGCTTATGGTTCACACGCTGCTTGCTGGTCTGTGGTTGCTGGTCATCCCACGTGCTGATCCTTGGTGCTGCTTTACTTTGCAAATGACTTGCTATGGGGGTTGTTGCTGGACGTTCGCAGTGGTGTTAAGGGGCTGATTTGGTTCTGTTTCTGTCTGTTTTTGCCTAACAATGTATACTTTTGTCTACAATTCTGTGGGAGATATTCTTACTCAGGGCATCTCTTATAAATTTGTATTTTAGCCTTGACTTTTTAGGCTTTTATTTTGATGTTTGTCTTTGAATCCTACATGACTACACTGTACATTTTGTGGGTGATTACCCTTGTATATCTGTTTTTCTTGAATATTTGTTTTCCTTGAATACATTTTACTTTACGAAAAAAGATTGTAGGGTTAATTACAAAATACCCCTCTATGTTTGGGTCCTATTACAATTAAGTGCTTGTAGTTTCAATTTAAACAATTTGGCCCCTTTAAGTTTTCATTGAGGTGAATTAACTGATGAAATAGATGAAAAACATAAAAGTCCTAAAATACCCGTCCAACAATAACCTTATTTTTTTCCCTCTTATCTACCAAGAGTTTCCACCATCCCCATATCTCCACCTTTGCTGTTAACCCACCCCCCCAATACCATCTCTACCACCACTAAGCTTCACCAAATAACGACTAAAATAATGCACTTCAAGTACAATACTAATCACAAAACAATTCAATCAAAACAACATTTAAGAAAAAGTATCCAATCACAGATTCATTCAATTCACCTAGCAAAAGTGCACCACAGATTGTCCTAGTCCCCTATGGCCACCGGCGACTAACACAATGCCACTCTCATGTCGTTGCAGTCATCATCCACCCACCAATCATCACCAAACACCCACAAAACAAAAGGAAAAGAGAAAATGAGAAGAAAAGAAAATAAGCTTACTTTTAATGCTCCAATCCCTGCCACTATCCAACCTCTATCACAGTAGTACATGCAGTGTTAGAGCATCTCCAACAAGATTTTGCATTTTAACTATTCAAAAGTGCACTTCTTCTATTTTTGCTATTCACTTTTTCAATATATATTCTAACAGATTTTCTATATTTTAACTACTTCTTTTAAATATTATTTCGCATATTTTGTACCTTTCTTGAGCCTATTAAAGGAAGAGAGAGAAAAAATGGAGGGAAAAACAAAAAATAGACAAGAGAAGAGGGAAATGACAAGAGAATAGATTACATTATAAATTATTTATACATAATGCTACAACATCACTGTAACAAAAATTTATTTTACATACTCTAAACATTTTTTTGTTGGAGCATGTTTTTTTGCCTTTGAGTAACTGAATTTTAGCTATTTTCCTAGAAATTTTCTTAGAACTACCAAAAAAGCTCTTGATTCCATTAATGGGCACCCACCATGGGCAGAGCTTCGATTCAACCCAAATTGCCCTCGAATTTTGTGGAAATTTCAAGTAGAATTGTGTATTAACTCGGATTCCACTAAGGCCCCGAATAGAGCTTTAGCGGAGGGGAGAACAGTGAATATGTTTACATTCATATATGTGGCTCGTCGCGCGTTTTCATGTTATCATTGTTTGTTAGGGTTGCTATCCACCAAAACTGGTTGGGTTCAATCTGTAGACTAAAAAGGGGATTGGGGATGGTCTTGTTAGTGTTGCTTGGGCTGCTATTCACTGAAGGGATGGACAGAGGACGGAGTTTCCTGGCAAAAGGGTGATTGGAGGTGAGTGCGGATGAGCCTTCAGTTTTGGGTTTTTTCTCGGACTCAGAGGGGTTGAAGGTTAAATTTGTCTTTTAATTGTATTAAAGAACTTTCGTCAATTTTTTATGTCCAAAGTTAACGGCAATGGAGCACTTGAGATAATATTCAAACTTGAATGAGAAAAATTGTTTAAATTAAAATCATGAAGAACTGATTGTAATTTGACTCAAATATAAAGGGGACATTTTATAATTAATTCAAAATTGTAATATAAACCGTTGGATTGAAATGACCTGGACCTTTGTACTATTTTCCTAAGCGAGGAGGTTGAAGAGCTTATCATATATGCAAGGATAAACCCTCTCGATCTTGCTTCCATATGATTGGTTTGGTGTAGAAGAATCTATAAAAGAACCTAAATTAATGACTAAACCTACCCCGTATATGACTATGACTTATTACAGACGGATTAGACCCTATATAACATCTAAAAGGGACGTCCATGGGGAAAGGTGCACATGTTTTAACAGCTCATGCCAAACCATCACTATTGACTTTTATGGGACGTAAACTCTGACCTGTTTATATTTATATGAATTCGACACCAACTTGACACAAATAATTTTAAAATTATCAAGATTATAAAATACACATAATAAATAATTTAATATAATATTTAATATTCAAAATATACTAAATAGACTTTTTTTTTTTTGTAGATTTTGACACGAACATGACATGATACTAATAACATGATATGTGAGTCATATAAATACGACACGATTGACGCACCCTTATAGTTGGATCAAACTTTAATCACTAAAGTTGAAATTTATATACAGTTCAACCACTTCAACCATTCAATTTAATTTCAGACTCACTAAAATTGAAATTTTTATACTTTCTAAAATTTTCACATATCCACATTAACATTCTCATTTCTTCTATACTCATTTTGTCACTATGTTGTTTCTTAATTGTTCAACATTCGGTCACATTCAACATTGTTGTCCTTGTAATTGTTCGATAAAACTTATTTTTCAATTTTATTGGTATGTTTCTATCACATAATATATTAGAGATTTTTCTCCACTAAAGCCAACTAGCATTAATTCTATGAGTTACGTAATCTCCAACCTCTCCATCATTTTTTTAATTATCAATTCTAGATATCTAAATTGTTTACTAATTGATATTTCTTGATTTTCAATCTTAACTTTTTCACTATATCTACTTTTTCTATTACTAAAGTTGTATTGCATATATGTAATCTTACTCCTACTTATTTTAAAGTTTTTCGACTCGAGCGTCTCTCTATAAATCTTTAGCTTATTGTTAATTCCCGTTAAAGTTTCATTTAATAAGACAATATTATCTGAAAAAAGCATACACCATGAGACATCATCTTGAATATACTTAGTGAGTCCATCCATAATTAGAATTAATATATATATATATATATATATATATATAAGTGAGTTCATGAGATATCTATATATCCCATATGCTCTATTTCATGGTTTTCATAGTTATTAGTATTGTACGATACACGATATGAATCGTATGATACGTCACAATACACCTGAAAAATGATACGTATCGTGTCTCTATATTATTTTTACATCGTATCGTATGATACATGATACGATACCATACATCTGATATGTACGATAGGTGAAGATTCTGTTTTTTTTGGCTGAAATAACATCATTTCACCCTAGAATTTATTTTTAAATCATTAGCCAGTAAAATAACATTGTTTTAGTGATTATGGTTTTAAAAAATAAATAAAGTCCGTTGTTAATGTTATTCAATTAAATTCAAAATTCCTGATTAATATTAAGGTTGTTCAAGTAGTTGATGTTACAAATTTGAATTAGAAGTCTTTATATTTTGATATTAATGAATTATGCTGGGAACTTGAATAGTTAGTGAAATATTAATGAAATATTATATATATTTTATTAATAATTATTTAAAATTGTGCGTATCTTACAATACATGATACATGATACGATACGATATATTATTTTTTAAAAATAATACGCCTTTCAATTTGCAATTTGACATATATGATGGTTTCCATGCATAAATGGGAGTAAATCATGAAGAAACAAAATAAAAAAATAAAGTCTCATGTGCTTCATTTCATGTGTAAATGAGAGTAAATCATGGAAGAACAAAATAAAAAAATAAAGCATCCCATGTTCCATCTCTCGGTTTCACATGCTTGCAACCTAAACTCGTATTATAAAACCAACCAAATGTGCATGATATGATCACCGCTAAGCCAACACATAACCCCCCCTCCCCACAAGTAGCAACTAGACCTGGCAACTAGCAACTAGCAACTAGCAACTAGCAAGATGAGAGTTCTAGCAGCAATATTATACATAGTTCTTCTCACAATTTGCGGCCTTGGAATCCAAGGCAGCGGTGCACCGGACTATCCCTCCGTCTCCTTCAATTTGGCGCGTGCCACCTGGGCCACTTACAGAGACTTCATAGGGGAACTGCGAGAAAGAGTGACACGGGGAACCAAACCAATAAATGGTGTACCAGTGCTGAGAGCCGCAAATTCAGTGCCGGTTGAGGAGCGGTTCGTTCTGGTCCGTCTCATCAATCGCGACGGCAACATCATCACATTGGCAATAGACGTGGTGAACCTTTATGTGGTGGCTTTTAGCGCAAATACCAGATCCCACTTTTTCAGCGACTCTACGGAACTTCAAAGGAACAATTTATTTGTCGACACTACTCGGCCCCCGTTAGGCTTCACCGGCAACTATAATCACCTTGTAGAAGCGGCAGGACCAGAAGTTCGCAGGGAGTCTATCGATCTAGGACTCGATCCCCTAGCTCATGCTACCACAGGCTTGTGGTACGCCAACGGTGGGAGTAGAACCGTAGCCAAATCGCTCCTTGTGGTCATTCATATGGTCTCGGAAGCGGCAAGGTTCGGACGCATTGAGGAACGAGTCCGCAGAAGCATAACCAATCAAAACAATTTTACAACAGGCACTTTGATACGGAGCATGGAGAACAACTGGTCACATATATCCTTGGAGGTCCAGCAGGCGATAGATGGAGAAATCTTCACTGGGACCGTTGTGCTTGAAGATGAGAATAACATTATCATCACAATAGACAACTTTAATACACTCAGTCGCTATACCATGGTAAAGATTCTTCTCCACCGATGCATCCCGACAACTAGTAGCAGTTCTTCTCGCACCAAAAGAAAGGCCGATGTTCTTGTGGACGAGGACTACAATAACAACGAAATGTGTAAGGTATTAGAGGCCACAAGACGCATCAGTGGTCGGGATGGATTGTGTGTCGACGTGAGGGATGAGCGCGACAACGATGGAAATCCCATCCAACTGTGGCCATGTGGACAACAGAGAAACCAACAATGGACGTTCCACACAGACGGAACTATCCGGTCGATGGGTAAATGCATGACTACCTACGGGTATAGCCATGGACACTATGTCATGATATTCGACTGTTCTACGGCTGTTCCGGACGCCACTAAGTGGGTAGTATCTATTGACGGCAGCATCACCAATCCTCGCTCTGGACTAGTCCTGACTGCTCCCGACGCTACAAAGGGTACCACCCTATTGGTAGAGAACAATATCCATGACGCTAGGCAGGGTTGGAGTGTGGGAGAACATGTAGAGCCCACCGTTACTTTCATTGTGGGGTATAAGGAAATGTGCTTGCAGGCCAACAATGAACACAATCATGTATGGTTGGAGGATTGTGTGTTCAATAGGCTGCAGCAACGTTGGGCACTCTATAGTGACGGCACCATTCGAGTAGATAGTGATCATAGCCTATGTGTGACCTCCGATGGCCACAGCTCCAGTGATGTCATCATCATCCTTAAATGCCAAGGGTGGGGCAACCAGCGCTGGGTATTCAACACCGACGGCACCATCTTAAACCCAAATGCCAAACTTGTTATGGATGTGAGACGAAGCAATGTCTCTCTTCGACAAATCATTCTCTATCAGCCCACTGGGAATCCTAACCAGCAATGGCTGACACAAACCCACCAAGAACTTATCGTGCCAAGTAAGAAGAAAGATGAACTTTAAATTTAAATGTCTTAAATTTAAATTATAAAAAAAAAAATAAGGTAATGTTGATTTAAAATATAGACTTGATCATTCACTATCATTAATTTTATTATGGGTTCTAATATTTTTTGGAATCTATTATCTATTTAATGATTATTATTGATCAAATTCATATTTTAAATTTACTTTTTAAATCTTAATAGCATTTCCTCAAAAGTTTGTTTTTTTAAATGTGTAAAAATTGTCACGAGATCTTTTAGTGACAATTTTTTTATTGCAACTAAACCATGGCAAAGCAATATAAGCCATGCCTAAATAATAAATAATTTAGCTATGTCATCGTCAATGTTGCCACTAATAATAACAAAATTTAACCGTAATATAAAAAATGTCACTAAATGTGTAATATTTAGCCATAATAATTATTGTCGCCAATTAAAATAATTTTGCCAATAAATGCACACTGTCACTACTAAAAGTATAATAAAAACCTGACTTTTTAGTAACAACAATCAGTCGCGGTTAAAAATTCACTGATTAACCACAACTAAAAACACAACTAAATATTAAAGCATACTTTTATTGACAGCTTATTGTCGAGGCTAAAACGTTGAAATGAATACAAAAATTATTAATTTTTTGAAAAAAAAAAAAGATTTTTATTGAATATTTTTCAATTCATATGCCACCTATCTACATAAATAAACAAAAAGACATAGGCAATGAATAAACAATAGTGTAATCAACACTTGATACCGTAAAAAATATATTTTCAAATCAATTAACATGAAAATTGTAAAAGACAAAAAATTGAGATTACCTTCTATTAAAATTGAAATGTTTATGGGTTTTTGAACTTGATCTCTCAATCTTCCTCTTCCTGCAAAACGAACAAACTGCCCAAGATCGAAGTGCTTCGATCGAAAACACTCCAATGCATAAATCAGTAAGAATAATGAAACGAATTGAAGAAGTCAAGAAGGGTTCAATGTACTTTTCTTCTTGGCTCCTTTTGTTTTTTATAGTTGGACATTCTCTTAGGATTTTCGTAATTCTTGATTCAAGGTGACCTTCCTCTAATTCAGTGATTCAATTTGGGAAGTTGCAGATATTTCTCCATTATTTTCTCCTGATATCTACAATTTCTCTGATTCGCTTACCTTGATTGCCTAAGTTATAGGCAAATCTCTATTCTTCTGTTTATTATCTAAAACAGCTCGGCCACATTGAATGCCGAGCATACTTGATAATTGCCGAACAGATTAAGGGACTTGGTTTGGCACAAATCGAACTCTTCAAATGCCTTGCTGAACATTTTAACGAACTCGACTTTGGTACAAGCCGATCTCCTTCATTGTTTAGCTGAACACACTGATGAGTTTGGTCATAAAGAGAGCTGATCCTTTTTTGCCATTGCCGAACCTCTAATTAGCTCGTCTTGGCTAAAAAGATCTGATAGAGGATTCTTGATCACATGTCTTGTCTTGTCAACATCACGTGAGCACATTTAATACCATGTTAGGTGTAATCATGAGGTTTAACCCTTTCATTTGCCCCCAGAAAAACGTTTGACAGACGCCTTTTGGCTGTCAGCCATTTTCTTATCAATTCATCATCACTTGTACTTTGAAACATGCCTTTTTGTTTTGGCGGCACATTCAGAGCATCAAAATATTTGCCTTTTAAAATTCCTCTTTCTTTATAATCGTCTTCCTTCGTATTTTTGTTTTTCTGCTACTAGACTCTCAGATTCTTGTTCTCTTAGACTCTTATTCTCTTCTTTCTGCGTTTTTCTTCCTCTGCACTTCATCTTTTTCATGACTCCTCTTACCCCATCAGAAGTCCCTGCCTTCAAAGTCAAATACAACATTCCAGATGACGTCGAGGTTAAAGTTGTTGGGAAAGATTAACCACTGATTGGTACCAGAGAGAGAATCCACATCTCCACTCGTGCCATTACTGAGGGTGGAATCCGTTTTCCCCTCAATCCTCTTCTTCTTTGGGTTTTCTCTGCTGCAAAATTTTGTCCCCTCCAATGCTGCCTCAATTTCTTTAGGATAGTCTTGGGAGTGTCTGCGTTAAACAAAATCTTAGGTCTGAGTCTTGGTTTATGGGATATCTGTACTGCTATATCATCAAAGCTACTGGAGATAACTACTATCTTTCGGTGAGGAAGAAGGATCATTATCTGGTCACCCATCTTCCAGATTCGAACAAAGGTCATGAAAATGACATTGTGTTCGTTGCTGGGAATTGGGAGTACCCTATTGGAGCCTCACCCTCTTATCGCTGCCCCTATGAAGAGGGTGCACCAGATATTTGAATCTTCTTTTTTCTCAAAAAACATTCGTTGTACTCTCTTTTCTTGTATCTGATATATTGCTTATGTAGGAGAGATGGTGAAAGGCAAGATTCCTGAGTCTTCTGTTAAGTTGGACCAGCTCTAGAAGATTTGGGATTTCAACGAGTCCTTGTTTTGCCATGCTGCTTATATGCCGCTCGGATACACACCAAACTACACGTCATTTATTGCTATGCTGAACCGACCTAATGCGACGCTTGCAGCAGATCGGGAGGCAATACAAGCTGCTCAGGATAAGACGCCCCAAGGAAAAAAGATACCTCTAGCAGCCTCTGGACGAAGGACTGTAAGGAACTTTTTAGACTTTTTGTCAACAGTTGAGCCGACTTCTTCCACCGAACCGACTCCAACTGCTTCAGCCATTCTGATCTCTGTTCTCGATGAGCCAACTGCTGAGACCCTTCCTGAGGTGATTCTTTTTGAAGCCAATGATGCTGGTCTGCCTTTCGATGACCAAGCAAATTTGGCTTGAGTTGCTGAAACTTTTGTTCATGTTGAGATGAATCCTCCAAAAAACTGTTCGCTCCCCAGTTCAAGAAGATGATTCAATTTTTGAGCTTGCTGAAGACCCGGCCCCTAAAAGGCAGAGGGCTGCCGAGTCTAAAGCGAGCCTTCCTCCCGAGCCTACCAATCCTCCTTTCTGACCAATCCTTAGAGCAAAAAATAGGAAAATCACTGCCAATGACTCTGCAATAGAAGATTTTAATATTGCAGTAGGAATTGCACGATGAGTGATTTTGCTTAGGGATCTGGCAATGAATGAGGCTATTGTTGACGACGAAGTGTCTCATCAAGCAATTCAGCATATGGTCCTGGTAAGTCTTGATCCTAACTTCCTTTAAGTTTTTTATTCTTTCTAAAAAAATTTTCTAAAGACTTTTTACTCCTTAATAAGGGTCTACAAAAAGTCCATGAGGTCGGAACTCAAATAGTTCGGAAAGATAAGACAATGAAAGACGCCATCCATGCCCGAGCTTCGGCTCTGGCCAAAAAGGAAAGCGTGGCGGAGGAGTACGCAAAACTTTGCGAAGAAGTGAAGGTTCTGCAGGCTAAAAACCAAAGCCTGATCAAAGAGAACCAGAGGCTTTCTTCATATCTAGAGAAATTGAAGGAGTCCGAGCATAAAATCAACGTGGAGTTCTCTCAATCCCAATTTGACTACTCCACTCTCCTTGAGGAGTTTGATCAATACAAGGCTGAGGCTAAAGGAAAAGAAGATGCTGCTTATAATGAAGGCATGGAGAAGGATGAGAATGACTTAACTCTTCAGATCCCTCAACTACAAGAGACATTCTTCAACAGAGGTTGACAAGCTACATTGACTGCAGCCGAGGTCAATCCTTCTTCAGAACTTTTCTTGAGGCATACAACTCTGAGCTCGTCTCATCCTCTTGCTCCTTCAAACACTTAGAAGACTTTTTTGAATGTTTTGAAATTTCTAGTGTAGCTGTAATATCTGATGTGCCTGTTACAATGGTCATGACCCTGTAAAACTTTTTTGAAGTATGAATGCAAAAAACACTTTAAGTACTATTTGCTTTTCAGCTCTTTAAGTTATGGCCTCTATTCGGCCTTTCTTTGAAAAGTTCAGTCCCTTAGCAGGGATCCTTTATACTTGAAAATTTTCTATAGCTGTAGAAGTTTTGGCTATTGTTCGGCCTTATTTTAAAGAGATCGGTTCCTTAGCAGGAACCCTTTTTATACTTAAAAAAGATTCCAAGCCTCTTTGAAATCTTGACCCTTGTTTGGCCCTTTTTCAAAGAGCTCGATTCTTTAGTAGGAACCTTTTTATACTTAGAAAAAATTTCAGGCTTATTTGAAATCTTGACCCTTGCTCAGCCCTTTTTCAAAAAGCTCGGTATTTTAACAGGGACCTTTTTATACTTAGAAAAGATTTCAAGATTCTTTAAAATCTTGGCCCTTTTTCATGAGCTCGGTTCCTTAGTAGAGTTACTCAAAGTCCCCTTGAGGTCTAAGAATGTTTCTACTCTGCACCGCCCCGCTAATCTGATTGGACTCAAGAAACCTTGGCCCTTGCTCGGCCCTTTTTCATGAGCTCGGTTCCTCAGTAGAGTAACTCAAAGTCCCCTTGAGGTCTAAGAGTGTTTCTACTCTGCACCGACCCGCCAATCTGATTGGACTCAAGAAATCTTGGCCCTTACTTAGCCCTTTTTCATGAGCTCGGTTCCTCAGTAGAGTTACTCAAAGTCCCTTTAAGGTCTAAGAGTGTTTCTACTCCGCATCGACCCGCCAATCTGATTGGACTCAAACTTATCCCTAGTCAACTTACATCGTCATGCCTAGCTGAGGGCCTGAATTTGATCGAGTGGCTGCGCCTGATTTAAGCTTTTGACTTCTATCAGATTTTTTGGTCTCCCTACCTTAGCAGTAGGACGTATATAATGCAAAACAAGTGCTGAAAAAAATAATCCTTGAACTTTTATTGATAACTTTCACTTAATACATTTGCTGCTAATATACCATCGCTTAAGGGGCACCCTTTAATTTTTTAAAGACACTTCAGAGTTCTATTTAAAAAGGTACTTTTTAGAAATAAAACTTTCTGAGGTTCGCAGTATTCCAGGGGTGCGGTACTGTCTTATAATCCAAGGTCTCGAGTTCGTAATACCCAC